TCAGTAGATAAGAGTATTAGTACTAGTTTTGAATTGAAACTAAAAGAGTTTGAGTATGGAGATAAAGATAGAATAATTACTATTACGAAAGAAAACACAAAAGAAAAATCAGTTGAAATTACTATTGAAACTATGAAAGTGAAATCAACTTTACTTTCAATAATTAATAATGGAAATCAATATTCTCTTAAATTAACTAATTTTAACATTGATTCATCATTTCATCCAGATGTTTCAGCACTATTACTTGATGGATTAACTAATCATATTACATTTACTGATAATAATAATAATATTGTTTCATGTGATGGAAATATGTTATTTACTTCAAAATTAAGTGACGAAGAAAGTAAAACAATATGTTTATTATATCATGACTATTATTCTATATGTACAGATAAAGAAGATGAATGTAATTCTAAAAAGTTACCAACAAAGATTATCATTACTAATTCAAATAACAATTCAAATAAATTGAAACTTGGTTATGAACATGAATTGATAGAATGCAAAACATCTGATTGTTATATTGAATTAGAAACAGACTCAAGTGTAACATCTGAAACAATCAATTATGCTATTAAATCAACATATGAAGGAGGATCTACTATTCATCTTACTGGACAAACAAAAAATCTTATTCTTAATGTTGATAATGTTAAAATTGAGAATATAGCTAAAGACAATAATAAAGACAAAACACTTACAGTATATGGTAATTGTAATGGAATTGATACGGATACACCAGTTATTTTAAATTCAATGATTATTTCAGGAGATATTAAAGCAAAAACACTTACTACAAGTGGGGATCTAACAGTTACTGGAAATAGTATTATCATTTCAGAATTAACAACATTTGGAACAGGTAAGATTAGTTGTAGTAGTGTTGATTTTACAACAAATACAATTTCATTTACAAGTGGAAATGAATTTATATTTAAGTCATTTAAAGTAACATTAATTGATAATAAAAACACAATTCCTGAACATTTCTTAAATTATAATAAAGAATGTAAATTTGAAGGTAGTAAAGTTATTCCTAT